GAGGCAGAAGTGTGACCTGTCTGGGAAACGGCCAGTGAGAGCTGAGCAGAGGTGGTGATAGAGATTGATGTTGAGTTCTGGGCATGGCCCTGTATTGTGGAGCCGTCAGACGTAGCTGCACTAGTGAAGGTAGCTAAGGTGTCTTCAGAACTCCTTTGGGTTGTGACTGAGCTGCTGGCACTAGAGGCCATTTCAGTGGTTTTGTCAATATTACTGGACGAGGATCCAGGCGAGGTATAGGTCATGGTTGGTTTAGATGTACCAGTCTCTGTAGTGGTTCTAGAAGTTATAGAGAGTGTAGGGTGAGAAGCAGTTTCCTGGGAAAGCAAAAGAGCAGAGCTGGTGGGACTATGTGGAGTACTTGTAGAACTTCCAAAGTCTAGCCTTGTCACTGGGTTGCTGGTAGACGCTATTCCTTGACGACTGGTAGGAGGTTGAGAAGTGGATGTGCTTGAAAGGTCCACTGAAGAAGATGGGGTTGCTGTGGTATTTGACTGGTCATAGTCTGGACTTCCATGTACTGGAGGCATGACCACTGCAGTGATGTTTTCATGGATAGCTGAACTTGAGCTTGTGGTCATACGTTCTCCATTTGTGGGCAAAATGGTGGCAGAAGAAGGATAGGTCACATCCGTTAGGGTAGAGGAACTGACCACAGTTGATCGTTCACTTGTTCCCACTGACAAGGTTGGTGGTGCTGTTTGAGTTTTGTGGCTGTAGTTGTTAGTGGTTGAGAAAGGTGTGGTGGTGGTACCTGAAGTTGACAGAGTGTGCCTTGCAGTCTGTGTAGATGTGTGCCCATCTGGTGTTGACGCAGGAAGGTTAGAGGTGACTGTGGAGAAGGTGTTGGTCACCTGAGAAACTGAAGTGGAGGCTTCAGATACTCTGGTGACTCCTGTATGTATAGTCTGAGCTGTTTGGGATGCAATGGATGTTTCCTGAGAAGAGGTGCTAAAAGAGGCTGGTGTTGACTGTTTCATTGATACTTCTGTTGTTGGAACCTCAGAGATGGTAGGCAAACCAGTGCTGGTGACAAGAATAGGCACACTTCCTGTAGGTCCTAAGGTAGTCACTTGATTAGACACAGTGCCCAATGGTTCAGTTGTTGATTGAGTTGTGTGGTTGTCACCAGATGGAATTTGAGTAAAGCTTGTACCTTTACCTGAAGTGGTTGTTTCTGGGGAAGCCCTTTGTGAAGGAGTTTTGCTGCTTGTGGTGAGTGAAGAAGTGGTGGCTGTGATAACTACCGTGGTGTCTGACTCTGGAGAGGTTGGTGTGCTGACATGAGGCTGTGCCGTGTTTCCTACGCTCTGAATCTTGGAGGTTTGAACATTGTCTGATGTAGCATCAGATGACGTGCTGGTTGAAGATGATGGTCCATGTGTGCCCTCTGATGTTGAGATTGCAGAGCCTGGTTGATGAATGGTGCTTGTTTTGGAATACAATGTTTCTGCTGGGGTTTCCTGAGTGGTTTGAGAACTAGTCAGCTGTTTTGTTGGAGCTTGGTTAATGTCACTGTCTGTAGAGTGTGCTGAGGTGAAGTCTGTTACTTCACTCTTGAGAGATATATCTTGAGATACTGTTTCTGAGGGTGAAGTCCCACTTGTTTGAGAAGAAGTTGGTGTTATGACTGTTTTAATCCTATCAGTCATAAAAGAGACTGAACTCATGACTAGGGGATCTTTGGTGGTATGAGAGTCATGAGTAGGGTCTGTCTGGGAAACCATGAATGAAAGCTGAGCAGAGGTGCTGGCAGGCATTGATGTTGAGTCCCTTGTAGGGCTCTTTGCTGTGGAGCGGTCAGAGATTGTGGCACTAGTCAAGGTAGCTGAAATATCTCCAGGACTCCTTTGGGTTGTGACTGGGCTGTTGCTACTGGACCCCACTTTGGTGGTTCTGTCAGTATTACTGGGTGGAGTTTCAGAAGAGGTAGGTGTGTGTGTGGTGGCATGGGTTGTGGTTGGTTTAGAAGAGTCAGCCACGGGAGAGGTTCCAGAAGTGACTGGCAGTAATGAGAGGGGGGAAACTTCCTGTGAAACTGTAAGAGCAGAGCTGGTTGTACTACCTGGGCTATTTGTAGAACTTCCAAAATTGGGCTTTGTCGTGGGATTGTTAGAGGACACTACTGCTTGACCTGTTGCAGGAGGCTGAGAAGTGGATATGTTTGAAATGTCCACTGAGGAAGATGAAGTTGGTGTTGAGTTTGTCTGGTCCTTGCCTGTACTTCCATGTACTGTAGGAGAGACCACTGTAGAGTTAATGCCATTGTTGACTGAGTGTGGGCTTGTGGCCAGATCATCCCCACTCATGGATACAGTGGTTCTAGAGGAAGCAGAAGTCACATCACTCAGAGTGGTGAAACTGACCTTAGTTGGGCCTTCAGTTGTGCTCATTAAAAGGAGTCCTCCTGTTGCACCCATTGCTGCTGTCTGAGTTGGATGGTTGTCACTGTCAGGGGTTGAGAAAAGTGTGGTACTGGTGGCTGAAGGTGACAGAGTGAGCACAGTGGTTTGTGGAGATGTGTTTCCATTTGGTGTTGACGAAGGAGGGAGAGATGTGACTCTTGAGGAAGTGGTTGTTCCTGGGGAAGCACTTTTTGAAGCTGTTTGGATGGTTTTGGTGGCTGAAGAAGAGGTAGCTGTGCTCTCCAGGGTGGTATTTGTCTCTAAGGAGGCTGGTGTGCTGGTGGGAGGCTGTGCAGTGGTTTCTATACTCTGAGTCTGGGAGGTGTGAACATTGGCTGATGAGGTGCTGGAAGATTGTTCCCCTGTGCCACCTGATGTTGAAACTGAAGAGATGCCTTCAGGAATGGTGCTTGTTTTGGAATTTGGAATTCTTGCAGAGGTTCCCATGGTGGTTTGACGACTATTTGTCAGCAGTTCTGTTGAAACTTGGTTTGTGTGACTGTCTGTGGAGTGTGTTGGAGTGAAGACTGTTGTTACACTCTTGGCCAACATATCTTGGGGAGCTGTTTTTGAGAGGGAGGGTCCATTTGATTTATTGGACAAAGTTGGTGTTGTGACTACTTTTATGTTCGTCGTAAGAAAGCGTGAATTTGTAATTGGAGATACTTGGGTGGAATGAGAGTATGCTGAGGTAAATGTTGCTTCAATCTTGGTCGTTGTATTGTGGGAAGAGGATGAGGATGAAGTTGAGATGTCAGTTTGAGATTTTCTTGTAACTTTAGAGGTTTGAGTATGACTGACTTGTGAGGGTGTTGATGTCTGTTGAGTGGAGGTATTGGTAGGAAGAACTGTTGTAAACAAATCTGTTTTATCAGTAAAAGCTGAGTCACCACTGGTAGTCATAGCAACATTGGAAATGGCATTTGTTGATGTTTTGATTCCTTGTGTCGTAGCAGACCATGTTTTGTCTGTTGTCTGTGTTATGGAATCGTTAGCAGAGGAATATGGCACAAAGCTGGTGAAGTTATTTGAGGTAGTACTTCCGCTAACTCTACCTGTACCAGTTGGCTGGATTAGTGATGTCTTTGTTTCAACTGAGTCTGTACTTCCAGTTGCTGCTTTCAAGTCTGATTGCCTGTTCGTGATTGTTGGTGGTACTGTTGAGTTTGTGGCTGTCCCTGCAGCACTACTCATTATGGTTGCACCTACGAAAAGAAAATAATCTCAGTGAAAACATGAACGCTAAGTCATGACCCTGTGTGCTCTGCCTTTTCAGCAGTAGCTAGAGATCATGGCATTCCGCATTCTGAAAAGTAAGTTCATTTCTTTGCTTTGCCCTGTGTGATACCTACCACTCGCTGGCAGAAACATATTTTATACAAATCTTTTATTAAAATTGTATACATACATGTTCCCAAAGGGTTTCAAATACCAATTCTGATTTAAAAATAAAATGGTAATTATTGCAGAAATTAACACAAAAATAAAGGAAAAGAAAACATCAAGGACTCAATTGTTATTGCTGTTGTTAGGTGCTGTCAAGTGGAGTATGATTCATAGCAACCCTATGAACAAAAGATCTGAACCCTGTTCTATCCTGCATCATCTTCACACTTCCTGGCACACAAGAGCCTATTGCACCTCAACAAGATAAAGGTGAACAACTCAATTGAAAAATTGAGTTCATATCATAGGATATGAACAGACACTTCACCAAAGAAGACATTCAGATGGGGAACAAACACATGAAGAAATATTCAAAATCCCTAGCTCTCAGAGAGATGCAAATCAGAACAACTAAGATGTCATCTCACCCCAGTAGCAATAGCAAAATTCAACAGAGCAGAAAACAACAAATGCTGGCAAGGTTGTAGAGAAATTGGAACACTTATTCACTGTTGATGGGAGTGTAAAATGGTGCAACCACTCTGGAAGGCAGTATGGCGCTTTCTCAAAAAGTTGTA